TGCTGGGCGGTCTCTCTCAAAGTCGGGGATCAGAGGTGGACTCCGAGCCGGGAGCACTCACGACGCAGAGCGCACCCGGGAGGCCTCCCGGCAGCTCAGTGCCGCGCGCCCCCTCCCGAAATGCCCTCACCCGACGCGGCTCTCGGCCTGAGGACGGAAGCGTCGCCCCCGCTGTGCCCCTTTAAGCAAATCCCCGGCCCTAGGTGGGGGCGGGGGGAGGCCTGTGTGGACACAGCCCGTGGGCCACTTGGGAGCCGGGTTGGCAACGGACCAGGTCCGCAGAGCGAGGCTCCCCGCACCCCCACCGCCAAGGAGGCCCTGAAGGCTTCCGCCCGTGTCCGGCCGCTCTGCCCACACGTGGTTGCTCCACTTTTCCGTAAAGCTCCCTTTGCCTCTCGATGTGTCAGAAAAGGGGAGAGCAGTGAAGGGACTGGGGCCCCCCTGCCTCAGGATCACCGCAATTTACAGAGCACGCCCCTCGCTCTCGGCCCAGTCCCTTATTACTACCTGCGTGGGGAGGCCTCAGTGCAGGCTGCGTCCCTTGGCTCGGGTCTGGACCCCCGGGTTAGCAAGTACTGGTGACTTCACAGGTGTGACTTCGGGGGGGCACCTCAAGGCAAACCTGGCGGGGACTAGACCCACACGGCGCTTTCTGAGATACAGTCTGAGGCTCTCGGGTGCGTGACTTGCCCAGGATCTCAGGTCCGGGAGCCAAGTAGCTGAGCAGGCCCTGAAACCTGAGGTGCCCCTGTCAGGTATCCGTCCTCGCCATGTCCTCTGCCTGACCCCCAGAGGCCGCTGCTTTCCTCTACCAGCCTCTACTGCCCCCTCTCTCCCCGCTCACTCACAGGAAGCCTCCCTGCCCTTGTGCTCCTGTCACAGTCAAGGCCTCCGCCACCCTCACAGCAGTGCAGTCTTTCAAACCTTTCTGTTATTGCTTCCGGAGGCCGGCACAAACTTGACTTCATCCATACAAGAGGACGATAGAAGATGTAGGTTTTCACTTTTGATCGTTCCTGTACTTAAGTCACTTCCCTACCCTCAGGGGAGAGTTCAAGGACAATGAAGGACAAGGGAAGTATTGATGCTCTTCCTCTGACAGGTAGCTTCCACACGGCTAGCTTGGGTTGCAGGAAAGGTCTACCCTGGACCTGGGACTTGACGAACTGAAAACATGTCTTCCTTCAGACCGAACTCCGCCTCGGCGTGGCAGGGGCTGGCGCCCGAGCCAGCATGGAAGCTAGTGTGGCCCTGTTGACGCCTGTGCTGCCTTGGCAGGGGACTTGGCCTGTGGGTTCACGCCCTCTCCTGGTCATCCTCCTGACCCTTCTCCAGGTCCCCATCCCAGCCTTCTCCTCTTTCTCCGCCGGGCCCATCCATGTCCTGGGCTCACCCCTGCTGGCCTTTGTCCTTCCTACCTGCAACTCGAGTGAGATCGTGGGTTCCACGCTTTCCCTCTCTCTGCCTCTGACAAGTGCTCCCAAACCGGTATCTCCTGCTCAGACCCCTGTCCTGAACTCCACACCAATGTTTTCCTAACTGCCTTGTGCCTAGGTCCTTCTGGATGGATAATGGCTTATCTCCAAAACGGCACCATCTTGCTTCCCCAGGCTACTTTTCACACCTCTCCTCTTCATGAAAGACACCTTTGGCTCCCCACCCCCAGCCCCCAAGCTGTTTCAGGGCACGAGTTCCTTCCTCGTGGCCTTTGTCCAAGTCTCAGGAGTCAACAAATGTTCAATCAAATCTGCTTTCTGTCTGCCTCCCTCCTTCCCTCCCTCCCTCCCTCCATGCCCCGGCCTTAACTGATGCCTTCACCAGCTCTGAGTATTCAGGATAGACTCTGCCCGGCCACTAAGCTTCCACTCTTTGAGCCTGTCACTCTCGTGCTGAAAAATTTCCGACCTCCTTCCCAATTCCCTTCAGAATGAAGTCCACCTTCTTTTGCACGGCCGTTCAGAGCACTGGTGGGTAATGTCCACTAGGCACTCTGCACCGGGACAAACGGGAATTTGAATCCCCGTCTTGCCCAGACAACAGAACAGGTAGGTGGCTCTCCCAGCAAATGAATCTCTGCAGGCCTCACTTTTCCCCACTTTAAAACGGGGGGAATAGCACCTTGCTAATGGTGCTGGTGGACGTATTTCAGGGATGCTTCTTAACAAGCGCCTGGCATGCTCTCTGGTCCACAATAAGCATCCAATTCGAGTTAGCAATTCCATTAATAGCTGCCTTTTAATCCCATTAAAAGGCAACGAAAAAATTAACCTTAATATACATCTGCTTCCTGGGAGTTCTCAGAGCCTCCCCGGGTTTCGGGTGTTCTGCCAGCTGAACCCAGTAGGTTCTAGCCCCACAGGGCATCTGCGATCCCCAAGTAGACGGTGTCTTCACACATTTCTGTTTCTTCTGTGTGGAAGGCCCACCCCCTCTCTAGAGCCCTGGGGGCCCCTGAGCTTCAAGATCCAGCCCCTTCCCTTTCTCCTCCTCACCCTCCTCCGGGAGGAACTTGCAGGGTCGGGGTCACAGTGCCCGTAGGCAGGGTGTCTGGAAAGCCCCGGGAATGGCCACAGTCCCAGGTTCAGCCTGCTCTTGGTGAGAGCAACTGAAAAGAGTTCACTGAGCTGCACCCCCACCAGCGTCCCCAGTCTGTTCCTGAATTCAGAGAACCTGGGCAGGACCATCTGCTTTTATATCCCCAAAGATGTCACATTCGGCCGTGCTGACAATTTTCTGGGGATGGGGTAGAGGCTTGGGGTATGGTCAGGGGCTGAGAGGGAGGTACATACAGAAATGCAGGAAGAGGAGGAAGGACGGCACAAAAGAAAAAGGGGATGGGTAACAGACCGCTAGGGTCCTCCCTGCTATAAAGGGGTGAGGGGGGAGACAGCCTGGTTAAGGCTGGAGGCCCCTTATGGTTAACTTATGTACAGAGAAGGTCCAGCCTCCACCCCCACCCTTCACCCCTGTCCCCAACGGATCCGTTTCTGTAAAAATGGGCATTCAGATAGTGCAATACCAGCACTGTCCTGATTGGCTGGACCCGCACACCGACCGCTGCGGGACCCCGCGGATTGGTCAGTAATTGTCCAAATGCGGACAGAGCTGCGCGGCTCGCACTGGACGGGGAAGGCCGCCGTCTGGCTGTCAGAACGCAAGGCCGGCATGGAGAAGGGTCGGCTCGGCAAGCAGGAACCAAAGCACTCGGCATTGCTTGTCTAAGGGAGTCACTATTACAACAGAGGGGCAGCTTGGAGAACGGCTGGTGCTAAAGGAGGTTTGGAGGGCGCTCTAGTGCCCACGTCCTAAAGGTGCCCAGCTCCCCAAGGACTCTCTGGGTGGCCCTAAAAAGGGCCTTTAGGGTGGCCGCACACGCGAGCCCGCAGCAGAGGCTTAGCCCCCGAAGCCATACAGGGTGCGGCCCTGGCGCTTGAGCGCGTACACCACGTCCATGGCCGTGACCGTCTTGCGCTTGGCGTGCTCCGTGTAGGTGACGGCGTCCCGGATCACGTTCTCCAGGAACACCTTCAGCACCCCCCGCGTCTCCTCGTAGATGAGGCCCGAGATCCGCTTGACACCCCCACGCCGAGCGAGGCGGCGGATGGCGGGCTTGGTGATGCCCTGGATGTTGTCTCTCAGGACCTTGCGGTGCCGCTTGGCGCCGCCTTTGCCCAGCCCTTTCCCGCCCTTGCCTCTCCCGGACATGGCTGCTTCTGTCACGAGGTGAACCTGCCAGGCGCCGTGCCGGGAGGGGAGCTCGGCCCCCTGATATACGAGACCGTCGGACCGGATTGAAAACCGCGAGCGGTCGACATGGTCCCCGCCCCTCCGCCGTTTCTTCCCCCAACCCCCAACCCCCGCCCTCAGGCCGCCCTCTAGCGGACACTATCCGCCACGGTCCCGGGAGCATTCGGATCCCAAGGCCCGGCTTCCGGATTCCACAGCTGTTTTCCTCTCCTTCTCGCCGTCTGTGGGCTCCCCCCGCCCAGGCATTACACTGGCGAAGAGAAAAGGTCGGGGGCGGGGGAGGGTCCTGGGGCGGGTGGGGGAGACCAGGAGATGAGCAAATACGAGTCCAGAGGGCGCAAGCTCCGGGTTTCATCCCAACAAGAGGATCCCAGGCTCCAAACAGTAAGCAAAGAAAACGGCAACAAAAGCTGTTTCCCATCAGTAGACCGACGGACGGCCGGACGAGCCCATCGCCAGGGCGGCCGGCACCTGGGCTGGAAGGGGAGGCGGACGTCGTCCCAACGCCCAGGTTTACTCTCCATTTTGTTGGTGCGGATGCCCATCCGTCCAAGACCTACCGCCTGGCTCCTCCGAATGTCACGGCATTTGGAGGCAGGGCCTTCAAAAAGGCGATGAGGTGAAAGTGGGGTCACTAGAGTGGGCCCCGATACAGCGTGAGTCGTGTCCTTATGAAAAGAGGGGATCCGGGCACAGACAACACAGCGGGGCAACTGGGGGGACAGGGAGAACGCAGCCGTCTGCAGGCCAAGCAGCGACCTCAGGAGGAAAGTAAACTTGCCCAAATCCTCATCTCTGATTCTAGCCCCTGGAATGTGAGGATATTAAGTCCTGTTTTTTACGCCCCCTCGCCTGGGGTGCGGGCCAATACAGGCCTCTGATCTCTGGCGGGAGCCTCATTCCCTAGCAGACCCACAACGCACAATGGGATCCTCGGGGTCTGCATTTGGTGAGTTAGAAGCAGAAACAACAGTGACTGGGCTGTGCAGGGCCGGCACCTTGTCACCCGGCGTCTCATCCACTGAAGTTTTGTTTTCAAACTTGCAGCCTGAAGTTCTCAGAGTGAGTGACATTCCAGCGGGTCAGAGCCATCATTGGCTGGGCAAACCTCTGCAGAGTTTGTAGATTTCCACCTCACGGCCCTTCCTCCCCAGGATCATACTCCCTGGACTGATACTAAATCAGGTTTTAAAGCCAAACTTATCACGCCAAAGAGATCCAAGACCTCCCTGTGGCCCTGAGATTTAACAACTGCCTGTGCATCTGTCATGGCTAAGGCAGTTCAGGGATCCCCGGCTTAGTGGGAATCCAGTACCCCAAAACTAAATAAAATAAAAAAAGTTTTCTAAATAATTAAAATTTAAAAACATGCTCAATAAGCAGAAACAATTATTATTATAACAGTTATTGCTATTAACCCCAACATCAACAAATGTATACTGGTGTGAAGACATCAAAGATGTTCCTTAGGAGGGTTCATCTCACCATTAATAATTGCCTTCTCAGAAGTTAAAATACCAAGCTCTCACCTCTACCCCCTTCCTCACTCTGTTAACTTCTTTCCTGGTAAACATGCCCAGGAGGAGCCCATAACCAGCAACTAAGGTTCTCTCTGTTAGTGAAGGGATTCCAGCTGATGAGCCCTACTACTGTGAGGACAAACTAAACTGAACTGAGCTATGGCCTCTGGGATGGAGAACCAGAGCCCCCAATCCCATTCTCAAGGCCACCGCACCATAGATGTATATTCAGGGTACATCCCGGAGGGAATAAAGTAGGTGATATTTCTTTTGATTTTTATTTTGAAGCATAGATATTCCCCTCCCTTCCCCCCACTCCCCAATCCAGAGAGGCCCAGGTTTTCAGTTAGTTACCTTACTTTCTCAAGGCCCTTAAACACAACGAGGAATTTATTCTCTGGAGAGTGTCCAAGGAGATTAAATGAGTCAGTATGTATAAAGGATTTTGAACATTGGCTGGAACATCTCTAGATGTTAGCTAAAATTTTGTAAGGACTTTATTTCTTCTATTTTCTTATTTTATAATGCTTCTTATTTGTGGTCATGTATTTTTCAATTACTAAGCATTAACAAAGTCCTCAGTGCACCTCTGAGCTAGAAGTGTGACTAATCCTATATAACAAAAGGGTAATATGCAAATTGACCCTAACAGCAGAATGACCAGAACGACTGCTGGATGTCACTATGAGGCACACTGACCACCTCTTGGTGCCTTTCCCCAGCCATCAGGCACCGATCACCCGATGGCGAACAGGGAACTAGAGGTGGGTGGCGGGGCGGGGCCAGCTTGGCCCTGATAGCAGGCCAGGCCTATGGACCATATCCATGCATGAATTTCATGCACCAGGCCTCTAGTCCTATATAATAAAAGCCTAATATGCAAATCGACCTAACAGCAGAACAACCAGTGGAACTGCTCGCTATGCCACGCACTGACCACCAGGGGGCAGACACTCAAGGCAGGAGCTGCCCCCAGCCCACAGGCCCCAGGCCAGCCCTGCCCCCCCATCTCATCGCCCCACCAGTCACCCCACAGGTGGGCCCTGATCCCTGGCCAGGCCTAGGGACCCTACTCATGCACAAATTTCGTGCCCCAGGCCTCTAGTATCTTATAAATATTCATCCTTCAAGTCAGAGGTACCCATCTTTTCCATAGACTCAGTAGTAGTTGTATATGCTACCTTACCTAGTTAGAAAACATACTACAGATTAAAGAAAAAACCTTAAATTGACTGGTAGCTTTATTAACAACAGTACCATCTACACCCATTTGAAAACACACATGTAGGAAACATAAGATTTATTCAGTGTATAATAATGTCTAGTGTCCATTTGGATTCATAAAACCCCTGCGATCGACTCCAGGACTCCTTAGCCAAAAGCAGAGTTGAATAATTGATCAGACCATCAGTGTCTTTATCAGCAAAATCAAGGCTTGGACAGAAAGATTCAACTAAATAAAACTAAAATGCAACTGACCTCACATCTAAGGGTACAATGGTGGACAATGTCAGCTGCATGGCCAGTGGGCCGATCACTTTGCTTCTCTCAATCGTGTTTATAAAAGGGTTATTAGCCTTGCAAATCTTACAGGGTCTGTCTTACATGGTCTCCTAAAAAGCAAGTGAGACTGGTAAGTGTAAATGAAAGCTCATCTCAGTGTGGAACAAAGGACTAAAGTATGGGAGGGGGAGGGGAGGGAGGGGGAGGCAGAGGGTGTGGAGGGACAAAAAGAATCATAACAGGGGCCTCCTCCCAGCTGTTGCCCTGAGGTGTGACCACGGACAGATTTGGGAAACTCCACAAAACAGTTCCATTTTCATGTTTTCACATACAACTAATGGAAATGAACCACACCCATCCTTCCATGGAAATTAAGGGATTAAGGGGTGTGATAAGAAAATTCAATAAATGTATTTAAGTGTCCCTCCACTATGTGCCAGGCACTTAATAGTGCTGATGATATAACGGAAAGCCAGACCAACAAAGTGTTAAGGGCTTGAAAAAACTATAACAAAATAAACATCCAATTTCTGATGGCTGCTAGGAGGAAGATAAAACCGGAAGGGACCAAGACAGGAAAGAAGGAAAAGTGCAAATTCTTGAGTGGGTGACTTGGAAAATGAGGTGTCTTTGAGCCTGGACCAAAACGACCAGTGCCTTGAAGTAACCTAAATTCAGATATTTCTAAATTGGGGGAGGGGGGTGGAGGGATTGAGCAAGAAAGAATTCATGGACAACAGTGTAGTGATTTTGGGGGAGGGCAAGAGTAGGGAGGATAAATGATAATTTAAAAAAAGATAAAGTTTGGAAACAATATTAAATGCAAAAATTATCCACAAAAATGAGAATAGGGATTTCAAAGCCCCTAAGTGAGCAGAGGAAACCAGAACCTATGAATTTCAGAACGGCGAATAGTTTTGAATGTTAATGTAATCCAACCAGGAAAAGGAGGGGACCTTGCGGCCCGGACTCTGCTCCAAGTGCTCAGAATCGCTGGTGTCCCCAGGGCACATCGCAGGGCAGAACTAGTTGCCGGCACCACAGCAGCCATCAGATTCTCGGGAAAATCCTTCAGGGTTGTGACGCAGTGTTCGAGGAACCTGGGCTCGGTTGTGTGCTGGGGTCCTTTCTTATGAAGATGGCTGGTCACTTCATTTTAAAAAGCCGATGAAACATACCCGAGGCACCAGGCCACCAGTCCAGGGCCGGAGGGTGGGAGGAGCCGACTCTAACCTCATTTAGAACCGACTCCGGGAAACAAAGAGCACAGGAAGAGGTTAAAGACGCGCCCTAGATTCAAAGAGCAAAGCCAGTCACGGATCGGGAACCCAAAGCCAAAGGTTTGAAAAGCTACGTGTGCCAACCCCGTAACCCTTGCCAGAAAAACTTACTTTGTGGAAATAAACTGAAGGAAAATTAACGTACAGCTACAGCTCTTTCTGGTGATTAGGTGGGTGGCTCTGAAAAGAGCCTTTGGAGTCAAGCAGCTGGCTACTCCGAGGAGCGCCGCGTCCCGGGCGGGACTCACTTGGAGCTGGTGTACTTGGTGACGGCCTTGGTGCCCTCGGACACGGCGTGCTTGGCCAGCTCGCCGGGCAGCAGCAGGCGCACGGCCGTCTGGATCTCCCGGGACGTGATGGTCGAGCGCTTGTTGTAATGCGCCAGGCGCGACGCCTCGCCGGCGATGCGCTCGAAGATGTCGTTGACGAAGGAGTTCATGATGCCCATGGCCTTGGACGAGATGCCGGTGTCGGGGTGGACCTGCTTGAGCACCTTGTACACGTAGATGGAATAGCTCTCCTTGCGGCTGCGCTTGCGCTTCTTGCCATCCTTCTTCTGGGCCTTGGTGACCGCTTTCTTCGAACCCTTCTTGGGCGCGGGAGCGGATTTTGCGGGCTCCGGCATTGCAGAAAAGCGCTATAACGATTAGCTGGAAAAAGAAGTGAGGCACTAGGCGGGCCTGATCCTTTTATAACCACCGTATGCAAATTACGGCTTCAGAAGCCTCTCGTTTCCATTGGGCCACGTAGGAACCCAGTAATAAAATCGTGACAACACCAACTCTTGATCTTATTGGTCATTCCTGGAGCCCGTTTAGAACCAATGAAAAATGCGCTCCTGACCCCACCCCTAGGAAAGCTTATAAAGGCTTTCTACTTGTTTATCTTTCAATCCTGCTTCGCTGCGACATTCTGAGCTTCAGGATCTTTCATCTCATTTGCAGTCATGTCTGGTCGTGGCAAACAGGGAGGCAAGGCCCGCGCTAAGGCCAAGTCCCGCTCTTCCCGCGCCGGCCTCCAGTTCCCGGTGGGGCGTGTGCACCGTCTCCTGCGCAAGGGCAACTACGCCGAGCGGGTGGGAGCCGGCGCGCCCGTCTACATGGCGGCGGTGCTGGAGTACCTGACCGCTGAGATCCTGGAGCTGGCGGGCAACGCGGCCCGCGACAACAAGAAGACGCGCATCATCCCCCGCCACCTGCAGCTGGCCATCCGCAACGACGAGGAGCTCAACAAGCTGCTGGGCAAAGTCACCATCGCCCAGGGCGGTGTTTTGCCCAACATCCAGGCTGTTCTGTTACCAAAGAAAACCGAAAGCCACAAGGCCAAAAGCAAATGAATGCTGGCAAAAGACAAAACCAAAGACCAAAGGCTCTTTTTAGAGCCACCCAAGCTTTCAAAAAAAAGAGCTAATGCGCTATTTTGTGGTCAGCCCTTGATTTGACACTTTGTTGGCTCTTAAAAGAGCCTTTGGGGGGTAAGTGGGGCGGGTGGTGACAAGCGTTTTAATTACTTGTTTTTGCCAGGCTTATGACTCTCCGTTTTCTTGGGCAACAAGACGGCCTGGATATTGGGTAAGACGCCGCCTTGGGCAATGGTAACACCCCCAAGTAACTTGTTGAGCTCTTCGTCATTTCTCACGGCCAGTTGCAAATGGCGGGGGATGATGCGCGTCTTCTTGTTGTCTCGGGCCGCGTTGCCCGCCAGCTCCAGGATCTCCGCGGTCAGGTACTCCAGCACCGCCGCCATGTAGACGGGCGCGCCGGCCCCGACCCGCTCGGCGTAGTTGCCTTTGCGCAGCAGCCGGTGCACGCGGCCCACCGGGAACTGCAGGCCCGCGCGGGACGAGCGCGACTTGGCCTTAGCGCGGGCCTTGCCTCCCTGTTTTCCGCGTCCGGACATCACGGCCAAAAAGAAAAAAAAAACAGCAGACTGTTTTACCATGAAAAGGATGTGGAAAGAATTACCAATTTGATTTAATTTATAAGAGCTGTCGGGAGGGGGTGAAGGGAGGAAGTTTGATTGGCTAAGACAGGGGCCTATCAAACAGCCAGTAGGAAAGCAGAAGGCAGGCCTTCCGGTCGCGTCGGGCACTAACAGGAAATGACGGGCTTCGCCACTACCTACCAATCGCTGTGAACTATATTAAAGCTCCTGGTTTGCATGCCAGGATTTTTAAAGAGACAAGGTTTTCAAATAAAGTGCTGTCTTGTTTTTCCGAGTGGCACTTTCTCCAGTTTAGGTAAATAAATGGTGGCAAAAAACCCAATGCTGGTAGTTTTTCGCAGGTTTGTTTGTTTAGAGCTGAAAGGGAAATCCCAAGAAGGACCCCGAAAGGACTGCGGGGGGCCTCAAGCAGATGCATTTACTCCCACTCAGGGGCACGGGATTATGAAGCCGATTGTCTCCTTGAGCCCTAAATTACCCTCAAAGTCCTGCCGATTCTGTCTCCTCAGTGCCAAACTCCCCTAAAGAATATATACTAAAAAAAGAAAAGAAAATGCACTAGGGCGGCTTCCTTTCTCCAATGAGTCACTGTCAGCAATGTGGCTTAACCCACCCCCACCCTCCTCCGCTGTGCGGAATCCACAGTGACTCAGGGCTACAACGGGTTGATCTTCCTCCTCATGACCTCCAGGAGGCGTCCGATACCACCTTCAACTTGCTCCCTGGGCTTTCAAAATGTCCTCCGGCTTTATCCTGCTCCTGTTCCTCTGCCCATCCCTGAATCGGTGTGTGCATCCAGGCTCTGCCTCCCTCCCCACCCTTTATATTGTTCACTCTTCCCGAAGTCTTACCCATTTCCATGCTTTCGATGAACATCCAAATTTGTTGCAGGAACTCCGAGCCTTATACCAAACTGCTCACTGGATATTTCAACCTATTTGTTCCAAATACTGCACCTGTACAAATGCCTACCCTCACCCTCTTCTCTGTTGTTTTCCTGAATTGCACCAACAATCTTGCAGGCACTTAAGCCAGAATCTACTCCTCCCTGCATCTCAACAGCATATTCTGCTACTTCCTTAACATCTCTTCAGCCTTTCCCTCCACACTACTCTTGAATGCTCATTATCCTCTCTTAGATCAGCAACAGACCCTACAGATTCATTTGTAGATTCCTAGTCCTCCATCTGTCTAGAGAAAAGAATCAACAAATTCTATTCCTTGAGCCCTTTTCTGATGTTCTATTTTATCTTCACCTTTATTCAACCAATATTTATAGAATACATGCTACCTATCAGGGTATTGGTATACAGAATACAGACTAGTACAAAGAACTCTGTAATAAGATGCCTCTAGAAAATGGAGGAATTCTGAACTCTGGAAGTTAAATTAGCTAATATTGGCTATCTGTAGAGATCCCCTCTGGTAAGAATGCTGGTATATATCTGTGAAACACCAAATTCAATTAAATGTGATGGGACTATTTCCTCAATAACAGAATATAACTGAAGATAATTCTAACCCAATCCATTACATCATTTCAGAAGATGCATGTGGTAATAGAAAGATGTGGTCCACAAAGAGTCAAAACAGGGCAATTACAGTAGAAATGGTTGTTTCTGAGTATATGTCTGCTAGACACAAAGGATTGGGCTGTTATAGAAGGGACCCTAGTTGTGAAAGGATGAAATATTTCTGAACTCTAACTCTTAGCTCAGATTCCGTGCTCAATTAACAATTTTCTGATTAGTCTATTTGAAGATGAAAATAGGAGGCTGAGAATGGGAGAGCCAGTTATGGGAAGATACATCTATCTCTAGAAGTTACATTTGCATATTGAACAGTCATAAATTTCTTATGTATTTTGTTAGTGTCTCTCCCCAAAGAGCTAATCAACTCTAGAAGTTCTCATAGTTTCAAATTTTCAGATAGTGGGTACTCCCTCACACACAACTCTGGCACCCAGAAAGGCCCTGATTGGGAGACAAACTGACTTCCCCTCTCTGAGTTCTGATGGGTTTTTTGTGTTTTTTACTTCTATCACAGTGACCCTGTGCTGATAGGGAAAAAAGAGATTATACTTAACTCTTATTATGTGAAAAATCCTATGCTGGGAACTACCTAGGAAGTATATATAATTGTTTGTTTCACAAATAAGGAGTTAAAGGACTTGCCATAAATCACACAGCCTCTTACGCAGACATGATTAGAACCCAGGTCGGCCTGAGTCAAAGACTGTGCTCTTTACCACTTCATTCACACTGCTTCACTAACTAGATGTTAGGCTAAGCGACTACTTCACCTACCCAGCACTGCTTTCTTCCTCTGTTAGAGTGAGAGATAAACAATACTTCAGGTTCCATCCAGCTATAAAACTGTATTAGCTAAGTCTAGATAGGCCAATATCCTTCAAAGTATCCCAGGCTCAATTACCATCTATTGCTTCCCAGAGGTCCTTTCCCAACATCCTTACAAGAGCTATTAAAAAATAAAACAGAGCAGGCCATTTATAAAAGTAGTACATCATCACAAACAGGCTGGATCTTATTTCCTTAGCACCTCTGGGATTTTGAACCAACGGCAGCTGAGTTCCCTCCCAAGCAATCTAGTTAATCAAACATTTATTTTGCACTTTAGCTCCATCCCACCATTCAACCATAGTCCTCTCCCTTCCCCTTTCCCTCCGCCTCACCCCAGCACCACCCAGCCTCCTACATGCTGAGCTGTTCACATTCAGAGCAGCAAGGCCTTTCCACTGCCATGGTACATAGTTTCCTCTGGCTAGAATGCTTCATCCTCTTGACCTGCAAAATCCTCCTCATCCCACAGTTTCAGCCCAGATATTGTCACCTCTTCCTTCATGAGGCCTTTCCTACTCCCACACACACAGCCTCAGTATACCCACATCTCTTTGTTCACATCCTGGTGATAGCACCACTCTGTTCTGTGCTTTGACACTGGTCTCATTTCCTTTCTATGACCATCTCAAGGGAGAGACCATGTCTTGATCTTTGAATCGGGGGTCCTTCATTCCCTCTACCTGACTCTTAATAGGGTAGTTAAATGTTTTTGGCACGATTAAATAAAACAATACTCAGAGAATTGGTGTCATCATTTCTAAAATAGTTCTCTTTAGTCAACAACCACTCTCCAAATGCCCACTATAAATAATAGAGTGTAGTGGCCAGAGTGATGGAAGATATAATAGGAGCTTGTCAATTAACTGAAAATAATACATACTAGTACCTACCATAACAGAGTTGTTAGAATAAATTACAATAAGTGTAAAGAACCTAGTGCAGAGCCTAGAGCCTGAGAGGCTCAGTGCTGGGTTAGGAGGAAGAATAGCTTACTGGTTAATAGCCCGAATTCTACAGCCTGACCCGGTTAGGAACAGACCTGGCACCAACAAAGCAGGGGCATCCTAAAAATTCTTCCAATGAATTTGGAATTTCAAAAATAAACACTGGAGCCTGGCCAGTGTGGCTCAGTGGTTGAGCATTGACCTATATGAACCAGGAAATCACAGTGCTATTCCCCATCACGGCACATACCCCGGTTGTGGGCTCAATCCCCTGTAGGGGGCATGGAGGAGACAGCTGACCAATGAGTCTCACTCATCATTGATGTTTCTATCTCTCTCTCCCTCTCCCTTCCTCTATGTAAGCAATAAAAACATATATTTTAAAAATAAATAAACACTGGATTTATCCTATGACCCAACAATTCCACCCTGGATATATGCCAAACAGAAATGAATGTTTGCATCCAACAAAAAGCATGTACAAGAATGCACAAGTATATTCATATAACTGCAATACTACACAACAATAAAAATTAACAAATTAAATTACTGCCACACACATGGATGAATCTAACAGACAATGTTGAGCAAAAAAACAACACAAATGAATTCATACTATGTGATTCTATTTACATGACTTTCAAAAACCGACAAAACTAGTCTATGGCGAGAGAGGGGTTAAACTAACAACTACTATGACAGGATGATATTGACTTCCCAGAGCCTTCCAAGGTGCTGGAAATTTTCTGTACCTTGATTATGTGTGTATTTACGTATAAATTTAAGCGGTACACTTAAGATTTATAAATTTCCCATGTGAAAATGATATGCCAATAAGCACAAATTAATTTTTTTCTAGTGAACAAAAATTGAAGTAATCATGGTGGGGGAAGGATGAGTATTTTGTTGGGCATCCCAATCCTCATGTTACAGATTAGTGTTTACTGTTGTTTTGTTTTCATTACACATAAGGTGACCACCATAATCTCTAGGTGCTTAAAGCCTCTAAAAGTCTTAATGTGGCCATGATAAACCTTCACTAGATAGTAGGTATTATTATGACTGTTTTTACTAGAAATAAAAACTCTAGGTGGCCTTATAGAGCTTGCCCCTTGCAAAGCTTTATCTCTGCAAGAGGAATAATAATGTCAGCCTTCTCTATTCATACATTATTTCACTCATCCATTCAGTAAATTTTATTGAACACCCAAGTATGCCACAGCATCTAGAACAGTGATGGCGAACCTATGACACGCCTGTCAGAGGTGACACGCGAACTCATTTTTTTGGTTGATTTTTCTTTGTTAAATGGCATTTAAATATATAAAATAAATATCAAAAATATAAGTCTTTGTTTTACTATGGTTGCAAATATCAAAAAATTTCTATATGTGACACGGCACCAGAGTTAAGTTAGGGTTTTTCAAAATGCTGACACGCCGAGCTCAAAAGGTTCGCCATTACTGATCTAGAATGTAGTGAACACATTCCCTCTGCCTAGATTTCTCTTTCCACAGGGTTAATTCCCTCATCATTCAAAGTATTCTCTGTGCCCCTAAGTCTGGATGGCATGCCTCGTTGGCATGATGACACTTAGCAATTGTCCGCTCGCTTGTCCATCTTCTCCAGCGTTCTGTAAACTCCTTAAGAA